GTGCCGCGTCGCAGTGTGTTGCAGTCACATCGGGGATGGAGGTCAGCGCGGGATTGACGCGCGCCTCGGTGGTGCTGCTGGGGGGGTTCAAGAATAGTGTCGCTGCTGTCGCTACTGGTTGAAGCGATGCATCAATTCGGCTGTGGTTGGCTGACATGTTTGGGGTCAATATAATCTGTGGCAGCCCATCGAGAACACCACTCTGTTGATGTTCATTCTCATTCTCTCGCACAAAGATGGATTGCCTGCGACCGACATTCCGCCGTTAGCCGGATGGCGTCTGGCGCTTTCTTTTCTCTCCAGGCGTCATGCAGCCACCCGCACTGCATCCATGGCGTGTCGAGGCTGGATACGAAGACCACGAATCCGAGTTGCATTTTGTTGTTGCGTTTTGCTGCGTATCGAGTGGGGCGCTTGTGCTGCTCTGCAAAGTGCCGCCGAAAATATCACGGCCGGCTGGCCATCAGGAGACCACGCACAGCGGCAGTCAAACAATCCAGCCCATCGCTCAATTGTCCATTGTCCTCGACGCGTTCCCAGAAGCTGGCAGGAAGGGGACCTGGGAAATTACTTGGCGGTGGGTTGGCGAGGGGCAGGGCGGCCACAGGTCCCCCGTGTTTCCCGTTTCAATTCGACATCCCGGCCAGCCTGGTCATTCGCACCATTGCAATTGCGTTTTATTGCCTCTCTTTGGCCGCCAGAAAGGACCTACCTCTGTTCCTGATCTCTTCCCACCGCCTTGATTCATTGCTGCCATTGCGCACTCGGCCGACAACTCCGAATCGGTGTCGGTCTTATCCGACGCCTAACCAACAAACAGTTCCAAGGGTCCGGTGGAGTCGGTTTTCTCGTGTCAGCAAGGTCACTGTCGTCGTCAGTCACCCGGCATCACAGGTCAATGGGCGGATAAATTGTGCAGAAAACGTGCGAGATAAGCCAATGTTTTGTTGTAGGGTCTGGATGGCTGGCGATAACAGCTGGTAGTGTTCTGGCGCTGACAGTGCCGCCCTGCTAACGCACACCACCTTGCATTATTATGCCAACCACTGTCGATCTCCAACGATCTGCAGATGGATGGGGGACCCCTGATCTTGTGCCTGACTGCTTGTCCAGGCTCCATCTCTCCCCACCCCTTGGGCGCGATCTCCCTAGCCAATAGGTGGCCGCGAATCCGCCGTTTTTTTGTAGGCACAGCGCTCAATTGGCTCGAAGAGGGGTCAGAGACCCGCCCGGCTAAGCCCAAGTCGGGAGGGCAACGAGGGGTGCTGCGTTGGTGCTTGTGGTGTGCGGCAAAAGGAGTGGTTTTGGCCGCGCAGGGGTGGCAGCAGGTACCATACCTTACTGCATCCATCCACATTTGTCCACATCCATCCCGAGGTCCTGTTGTAATTTCCCACTCGCTTCCCCTGGGGCAGGGAGATTGTGTGGGTTCCTTCCCCCGTTTTGCTGCCAAGTCGTGCCCACAGTCCAGTCAGCACGGTCAACTGCCTGTGGCCGTCTCGTCTCTTCCAAGTCCCTCTTTCGCTTCGTTTCTGCACCTGCAACTGCAACTGCAACAAAACCACCAGCGCTCCCTCCACCCAGTCACTCGTTTCCTGTCGTGGTGTTGTTGTGCTCGTCGTCTGTCGCTCCACCCGTCCCTCCGCAACCCAGGACATCTCGACCATCTCGATATCGTCCAGATCGTTGTTTCACCTCGCTCCCTGCCTTCCAGCGCGCTGCGAAGGGCAATGTCCCCCCGACCGTGACCCGTCCGCCAGAAGAAAATACCGCTAGGGAGACGCACCGAGCAGAAATCCGACTAACCGACCTCCACCACTCTCGTTCATTACAACTTCAATTCCAGTTCTTGGGGTCATCCCTTTTCTTTTTTTGTCCTAGACCGCGAAGGCCCATTTGGTAGGTCTTGCGAGTCTCTGGTCGCCAAACAACATCCCACCAGCTCTTGTCGAGAATCTGAACCCGCCCCTGTTCGACCGAACGCAAACTGAATTCCCGACGACCAAAAATAACAATCGATCACACCCATCATGAAGTCAATAACCTTCCTCGCCGCGGTGCTCTTCGCCACCGTCAATGCTCTCGAGAAAAGAGCGTCCACCTCCGTCTCCTCGGCAAAGGAGGCAACCCCGACAGCAATCGGAGTCCAAGAGCCATCGGCACAGCCGACGCTGAACGTCATCACAGTCCAAGGCTGCTTCAGCAGTCCCGGGGACCTGGTGTTCAACTCGACACTCCAATTCAACACCAAGGGCTCTTGTGCGCAAGATATCTGCTTCGCCCTCGGTTATCCGGTGTCGGCCACTAGCGGAGGAAATCAGTGCTATTGTGGAAAGAAATACCCCCCTAAGGACAAGATAGCCAACGATTCCAAGTGCAACATTGGATGCACTGGTTATAACCTTCAAGCATGTGAGTTGTTTGCGGGCACTGGGCGCCTCCCCCCTCTCGTCCGTACTGACATGATGCGTAGGTGGCGGAGTAAAATTCTGGACCGTCTACAACACGGGCTTGTCGCTGTCAGTTGACACGTCCGGAGAGCCAGAGCAGGACCACCCGGAGAACGGCGAAACCGCATCCACAACAAAAGCGCCCACAGCTGTCGTGACACTCACAGGAAGCACGGCAGTCATCACCCAGACAATCGCGCCGAGCGATGAGCCAAAGCCCAGCACCACCAATGTTGGCGCCATCGCAGCAGGTGTTGTCGTATCGGTTGTCGTAGTCGCAGCCGCCATCGCCGGCATGTTCTTCTTCCTCCGCCGCAAGAGGAACAAGGAGATCGAGGAAGAGCACCGCCGCAACGCCGCCGTCAACTCGTTCAGCGGAAAGCCGCCCAGCAGCAGTGGTGGCATGTCAATTCTGGACGCGCGCCTTGATCCCGTCATGGCTCAAAGAAGAATGAGCGACGGCAGCATTGCTGACAACCAAGACTACTCCCGGAAGATCCTTCGCGTAGGTGACTCGCTCCATGCCCCCACTGACACGTGTGCTAACTGAGTTCTAGGTTACCAATGCGTGATCAGCCCCCATCTGATGATGACAAACGACCCGCCTGTATTTTACTCTTACATTAGCATACTCGGCGTTTGGGGGATCTTGACAATCTTGTCACTGGTGGCTCGATCCGGCGACGAACCTACCTGGCGTGCTTTTGGTGTGGGAATGGTGACATGTCTGGCCACAAATTGGTTGTGGCCAGTGGGAAGTCGCCATGTCCTGCGCTGTCCTCTCCTTTACTCGTTTTTACATAGTACCATGGAACCCCGATACAAGTGCGGTCTATCTTTCTGGGGGCGCCACAGCACCAATGATGCGGACGATCGCATCACTCCTTTTGGCGACGTTACTTCGAAAGAACAGGGATTGAAGATTCACGATTGCTTCACCTCGCCTGGCCAAGCTTTTATATCTGCTTGAAACGGGAGCAGGGAAGTCAATGTGCGATGTTGTATTTTAGTCAGGGAGTCTGGCTGGACATTGCGAAGCTCGGGACAACCCAAGCAACCAGGACCGGCCGGCCCGGGACTTTTTTTTACCATAGGTTCCGGGCCTGGCTCGGATCTAGCTTGGGAAGCCGTAGAGACGGAAGACTTGTAGTTACAACCGGGGAAATATTTGTGTTTCTGGATAATTGGGGATAGAGTTTGACCATATTCAGAGGGCGCTTGGACTTTGACATCTCTTCCCACCGCGTCGTCGAGCACTGTACCATGTCTAGCAATCCACGGCTACCAGATCAGGGACACTGAATCCCCCACCCTTCAGTTTTTCTTCTCTCAAACAGATACCCTAGTTATGCAATTCCATATCGGACATATATCTGCCGATCTTTTTAATCACACATTTGTCTCCTTTTTGGTTCCCGCTCCTGCTTGGTTCCCCTCCAGTGACGGGCTAGACAATTGCTACTTGCGGAGCATAGTCTTGGTGTATGAGCCTTACGGAGTACTGCCCTGATGCAAGGTAGGAGGGATAAGAGGCCTCGCGACAGGCCTCAAAAAGGGATTCTTTGCGGCCGGCCTTCTCCGCACGGCCAGGACGAGTAGGCATTTTTTGTTCAATGTCCAGTTGGGCTGTGTCTGCCTACTCGCGAACCGGGTTTTTGGTCTTCAAAACGCGTACCTTGCATATTTGTTTCGACCGCTGATGAGCGGCCCCCGGGATCATGTGTGTGTGTGGTACGGTGTGCCACACCTTGCGCCCATTTCCCCTCCTCATCCCATCCTAGTCGGTTGTGAAACGGACTGTTGGGGTTCATGGAAGGGGGGGTGCCAAGCGCCGCTACCACCACGGCTTGTAGTCTCTTTTTTTTTCCTCCCCCTTCTGCTTTTTGGGATTCTTGAGAGGATAAGTTTGGGATTTGGTGAACTTATTCTTTTTGGCTGAGTGGTTTGAAGCTTGGTTCGGTGTACTGGGGCGGGGGGTGAGAGAGGTGTATGGAAGGGGAGGTCTGGGGTCTGGGGTCGGCTGGGGTCGAGGGGGGCTGTGTCAGCCTCCAAATTTCCCTGGGTTCTTCGCCCCGTATATATCATGGCGGATGACGGGCGTGCAGTGTGTAACATGGCCATGCGTTTGGCGGGTTGCGCGTTGGGTGTTGATAATTAGTTGTGTGTGTACGCGGCTGCTTCGCCGTGCGGGAGGATGCGGTTTACCATACCAGATGATGGTATCCCCCCTGGCGAGTAGATGTGTGGATTGGGTTGCGGCGTAGGATCAGAGGGATTGGGCAAACATTTTGCTGGCTGGCTGACTGTTTGCGAGTTGGTGTTTCGTGTGCAACGTCGGCTTGCTACGACACAAACACTCGGAAGCATGTGCTGATCCCGCCGCGCAGCTCGGCTCCGTTTCTTGTTTTGTTTTGCTGCTTTGCCAAAGGGTTGATCGACGTCAGGTTGAGGTACTCGGTCTGGTCATCTCGGTGTCATCCCTCTCAGAGGGAGGCATAAGACATGGTCGAAAAGGAAAAAAAGCGGGAACGGAAAAAGTCATGACGTGTATGCCCCCACACGGGATTGAACCGTGGACCTCATCATGTCTATGGAAGCGGATTCCTACGAGTGATGCGCTCTACCACTGAGCTATACGGGCTTGTTGAATACATTTGGGTAGTGCTGGTTTCCCTATTTGCGCTCGGCAAGTTTCGGGGCGCGATGTCCATGATACAAAACTTGCTGTTTGCAAAAGAGAGGGAAAGGAGCAGCAAGGGGGGAAGCTTTGCTCAGAGCTCGTCATAGCATGATCCCAAGATACGCCCCGAGAAGCAGAGTAGTGCAAAGACAAAAAAGACAAACAACACTTGATGAGTTAGGTTGTACCAGAGGGGAGATGGATGCCCAATAACAGGATTGAACTGTTGACCTTCGTATTACTTGGTATTATATCAGGAGATATATTAGTACGACGCTCTAACCAGCTGAGCTAATCGGGCTTGAATCGTTGAGAGAAGATGAGTTGAGTTTGGGAGTCATCAGGGAGAGTGGATAGGCCTCCCCTGAAGATCCATCAGTTCGTTCATTTAGGAGTTTGCCAGCTCCACCATAACCTAATTACAGTGTAGCACCCCCTTCACACAAGAGGCCTCTATGATAAAGCCCGGTGCCATAGAAGAAAGAGTAGATGTTGTCGGTGTTTCGCTAATAATGAGACTATTGAATATCGGTTATTCATGGTGATGAAGACAAAGCTGATATAGATGATAGTTGAATTATGAACCGGCAAAAGTGTCGGGACTTGATTCAACTATGTGCTCGCCCCAAATGAAACTTGAAGCTTCTTAACAAGTCTAATTCGATGCTTTGAAACCGCCCAACATCCCATCGGTAGAGATTCTAGATTGTCAGCGTAAAACTTGCGCCAAGGATCCATCCAAAACTCTGGGCCAACACAAACAACAAAGTGGAGTTGGGTTGGGGCAATCCATGCAGACAAAAACTCTTCATCGCTTCGTCATTCTGAATTGGCACCGCACCCCCAGATAACCACACAATCCCAGCACTCTTTTCCAGCGAACAGGCACAAGCCCGGCTAGCTCAATTGGTAGAGCGTGAGACTCTTAAAGCTCTCTTTCAGCTAGGCATCTCAAGATTGGGGGTTCGACCCCCCCCCCCCAATCGGGCTCAATTCCAGGTGAGCACCACCCTTCTTTTTGTATTTTTTCGAATCTGTGGCCAGTTCTGTCCGTGTTGTTCAATTCAATCATCATAATTCACCCTAAATCGACAGCTCTTCTTCAGCGGTCCGCGTCAAATGAAATGCTGCTCTGAGACAACTGTGCGGGCTCGCAAACAAGGGAGGTGAAGGTTCGGCACATAATGTCATCCCTGGATTCTCCCTCGGAAACGCGTTTTTTTTGGGGCGTGGCCTCATATATTTGCCACAACTGCTGCTGTGTACTTCTTTTCCAAATGAGTAGTATGTACGGTCATTCAGCCTGACAGTACGCGGGTCTCTCCACAATGTCTTCGGGAATCGTGTTCAGCAAGAGGTCGATCCCCCAGCGACTCCTCCTCACCTCAGCCATCCTCCTCACTGTCGCCCTCATCGTTCTGTCGCAAAAGTACCTGGGCATCCTTGACCTCTTCGACCGCGTCGAGCTCGCAACGAGCAGCCATCACAAGCCGTCGGCCCTCTCCCAGCAAGCCCAACCGGCCGTGACCAACCACATCCCGAACCAGGTGCACTACGTCTACGTGCTCAAGGACGGCGTGACCGACTTCTCGTTCGAGTTCAAGCACTACCTCTCCGTCTACGCCTCGTGGCTCTACCTGCGCCCCGACATCATCTACCTCCGTAACATCCCCAACCCCCCCTTTTCCCCTTCCCCCCTCACCCTAGCCACCCCCCGCTGCCCCTTGCTGCCCCCTGCTGCCCCCTGCTGCCCCCTGCTAACTATCAACCCTCCTCTCCCTCTCTCCAGACACCAACGCGCCCGACACAGCTATCGCCCACGCGCGCTCGGGCGCCGGCGGGAAATGGAACCGGCTCCTCTTCGCGATGCCCCACATTCGGGTCAACCACGTCACGGCGCCGACGGCGGCCGAGAACGGGCGGCCGATCACGATCCTCGAGCACCAGACGGATTTCCTGCGGCAGGAGGCGGTGCGGGGACTGGGTGGGGTGTACCTGGACTTTGACGCGCACGCGCTGCGGTCGCTGGATCCGCTGCGGGCGAGCGGCTTCGCCGTCGTGCTGGGGCGGCAGCACGGCGGCGAGGTCAACGCAGGCGTGCTGCTGGGGCGCGCGGGCGCGCGGGCACTGGCGCTGTGGCGCGACGAGATGCACCGCGTCTACGACGGCGCGTCGTGGAGCGGCCACGTAAACGGGGTGCTCTCGCGCCTGTGTCCGAGGCTGATGCGGATCCCGGGCGAGGTGCTCGTGCTCGAGCAGGACGCGCTGCAGCCGGGCAGCTGGTTGGTCGAGGATAATCTGGCCTTGTTTGGGATCCATGACGAGACCAGGTCGAATCTCGAGGGCGTGGGCCAGGGCGGTGCGCTGCCCGAGTTTGAAGAGGCGCTCATGGATCGCTGGGAACATCCCGAGCGGTTCCCCCCCTGGGAGCGCGATTACTCGAGCACTTATGTTCTGCACGCCTTCGACCCCAAGCGCAACGGCAACCCGGTCCCGGGGTTTGAGCATATCACGCCCCGCTATGTGCTGGACCGACAGAGCAACTTTGCAAGGGCCGTGTACCCCGTGGCGAAGCACATGTACGATGCCGGCCTGGTCGAGATCGATGATCCGTATCACGGCAACGTTGATGGGCATGAGAATCCAGGGAAGAGGCAACCATAGTAATGGCAAGGATGGAATTCGTGCCCCGGTCTGAAGGCAGTTAGTTAGTTTTGAGGAGTATGGGGAAAATAGCAATAAAGAGCAATTTTTAGAGATCATGATGTTGAAAACAAAACAAAACAAAACAAAACCAAAAAAAAAAAAAACAGATGAGAACCCGCCTGAAGCTGATGCTTAACCCCTGAATCGAAAAGTCAAGCCCCTGACGGCGATCCCCCAGGGTGTTCTGCTTCGTGGTGGTCGCGTCGACGATGCAAAGGTTGACTGGGAGTCCCGAGTCGTCGATGCCGGTAGTCAGCTTTGGGACTTCGTTGTTGTTCTTGTCTGAGAAGCAGCCGGCTGGCTTGATTGCGTTGACTCTCTGCAGAGGGCCTTCCATCTTGACAAGGTACTTTGATGCGGTACTGGCTGCTGTGACAGCAGGTTCCCGTCCGCTCCCCTTCGAGACCAAAAGCTGGCATGAATATCCGTAGGCCTCTAGGAGTGGTAACACGGGTAAGACTTCTGCGGGCTGGATTGTAGCTGTTGCGAGAAAAGATGCCGATGAGATATTCCAGATCCTCAACAGTAGCGTATCCCTAATATGATGCTTTTGGCGTTTCTGACTGGTTAGAATCGATGCTTTCGTGGGAAGTGAGCCGCGGGGAAATATGATCCTTGAACATGACGCGAGCATCTCTTGTTGTTAAGTTATCGTCCGAGTAAAAGAAGTTGTTTTCATCAGTGGATGAATATCTCCGGGAGCTGTAAGTTTACATCCTGGGTATTGGTGCGTGTGGGTCTGTGATATAGATTATAGGTTTGGAATCACATTTCAGAGTGAGCCCCTGGTCTGGTTCGAAACACCTAGGACCGAATATCCATCTGAGTTAAAACAAAGGTATTTTTAGCTCGACTGACATTTCAAGTGTAAACCTCTGAGCGGGAAACAGGATGCGAGGTTTATCATTTGCTCCTGATGCCGGCGGGATATTGTGCTGTAATCGAGACGTCGCTGTGGCGCGTGCCGGGTTTAGCGCCATCTCCATTTTATCACGGTGTTTTGCCTTGGTTGACTGCACGCTCCCCGCTCCGTCACGTTCGCGCATATATATAGAACCCGATCCCAACATCAGTCGACGTCCTCTCCTTATATTCTCGACAGTGGCTAGCCTGGAGATTCAGTGTGGGTATGGCCCTCGCTGACATGGTATCACCTTGGTTGGAAGCCCGAAGATAGCCTCATGAACTCATGAATAAACTCCGATGGGCGTAACATTCTCTCCTGTCCCTTCGCTCGTAGGATGAAGCACTCTTGGATTCGAGTTTAGCAGGTCGGCATGCACTCTTAGGCATCCCTTATTTCACACAACGCTATGTTAGAACCATTTTAGAGGTTAACCAGCTAAAACAATATCTCGAAGTGAGGATTAGCTCTACTCTCCATCTCTAACTCCCTATAACATATAACGGTACCACTCCTTGCAAATGTAATTCCTCATCCTCCTCCTCCTCTTCCAATTCAGAGCCATAGTCGACGCCATCGTGCTGTTGCGCCCGGCGGATGACATTATCTGCCACAATTGCCAGCCCTGTCTGGTCTGCTTCTGTTTCAACAAGAGCGTCCTCATCAATCGCATGTTCCATGATTGACTCGGCGATACTACTGAAGTCGTGTCCAATCTCTTGGACAAAGCCAAGAAGCATATTCTTCCTCACGTACTTCCCCTGGGTACCCCAAAATCTTGCGCTTTTAAGGACCTCTTTCTGGATCAACGAATCCGGGGGTTTGACTGATCCCTTCCATGACAGTTATGTGATGGCGCTGAGAAATGTCCACCACATATATCTTACTCTTGGGCAAGCGTCGTTCCGGAACACTAGGCGGCGCTCGTCAAGGTCTGCCAAGGTCTTAAAACCGAGTTGTGTGTATACTTATCCGCCAAATACTTGCTCCTTCATGCAAGCTAGTGTTGGGTCAAGGACTACGATACGGTACTCATGTAGCTACGATGTCTCCCACTTCCTCAAAGCCTTGTGTCGTTCTTCCTTATCCTCCCACGGCACTAACGGGTCTTTCGGGTCAACCCCAATGTCTAGAATAATAGCTAAAAAGCCACGGTCAAACGCCTTCTCAATTTTCGTATGGAGAAAGATGCCGTTGGCGGCGGAGAAGAGCTCATCTCGCGACCTAGACCCGAAGATTGAATCTATCATATCAGCTGACTGCCACGGCAAGAGGTAGGCGGCAGTCGCAATTTCGTTTTCTACCCACTGGCCAAGTACTGGCTCCTAAATCGAATCTTTGTCGCTAGGGCACTAGGCCTACTTCATCAAGGTTCTTATCATTGATTGATCGTTAGTCTCTCGCCGGCCCTTGGATGATACTAGTATGTTCCAGCCCGAACCCAAGCTTCGATGAGTTGAACAGTTTGACAAATACGGTGCGGATTTCTTGGAAACGAGACCCCCTATCCTTCAGCTTCTCGGCTTGGCTCATGGCGATTTTTGCTTGTGTCGCTAATGTGACCTTCTCCATAATGCACTCTGGCCTTCTGATCGACCTCCCATCGCTCCCTCGAAAGGATTCCCCTCTTCCTGGTATTTCTGGAACTGCATTGAGGTATATAACCCTATCCACTCTGAGTCCATAGCCAG